CAGGCGCAGATATATTTAAGGTCACAATCCTACCCACCACCCATCCTTGCTACCCACCCACCACCCATCCTTGCTACCCACCCACCACCCATCTTTGCTACCCACCCACCACCCATCCTTCCTACCCACCCACCACCCATCCTTGCTACCTACCCACACCCATCCTTGCTAACCACCTACACCCATCCTTGCTAAACACCCACCACCCTTCTTTGTTACGCACCCATCCTTGCTACCCATCCACCACTCATCCTTGCTGCTACCACCCGCCACCCACCCTTGCTACCCATCCATCCTTGCTACCCACCCACACCCATCCTTGCTACCCATCCACCACTCATCCTTGCTACTCGCCACCCATCCTTGCTACTCGCCACCCATCCTTGCTACCCACCCGCCACCCACCCTTGCTACCCATCCATCCTTGCTACCCACCCACACCCATCCTTGCTACCCACCCGCCACCCATCCTTGCTACCCACCCGCCACCCATCCTTGCTACCCATCCATGCTACTCGCCCATCACCCATCCTTGTTACCCACACACTTCCCTCGCCATCCCCCGTCACCCCCCTTCCCCGTCACCCACACCCCCCTCCTGAGATGCCTCAGACGTGGCTGTCTTCCAAGGAGCAGGAAGCCTACTTCCGGAACAGGTTAAATTGGTTACATAGTTGCCCATTATCACCAGCCAGTGTTGCTGCCTTCTTCACCTCCACCTGGCACTGGGGAAGGGGTTTTGAAGGGGTGGGGGTACCAGAGTGAAGAGGGGTGGTGTGGGGGTGCCAAAGTGAAGGGGGACTAGACGAATTTTGTTTATTTAGGTTACATCAGTAGTGTGTTGCTATTTAATAGTTACACAGTGGGAATAAAGGTTATGGTTCCCTGTCATATTGTATCACACAGGATGGTGTTCCTGCCAGGTGTTGACAGGTTGTGTGGTGGGAGTGTCAGAGTGAAGGACACCTGAAGGATGCTTCTGGGGGGTCAGCGCCCCCGCGGCCAGGTCACAGACCAGGCCTCCTGGAGGATCAAGGCCTGATCAACCAGGCTGTTACTGTTGACCGCACGCAGTCCAACGTACGACCACAGCCCGGCTAGTTAGGCACTGATTTGAAGAACTTGTCCAATTCCATCTTGAAGACCGCAGAGTTTGTTGGTAATTTCCCTTCCATACGGAGGGAGAGAGTTGAAGAGTCGGTGACCTCTGACACTTCGATCTCTCTGTGTACTCATGGCGCCCCTGCTTTTGTGTGGAGGTATTTTGCATCGTTTATCAAAGTCTTGTTGGCATATGTAGTGATTTTGGTGTCCAGGTGTAACTTATCATGTACCTTTATCGCTTACTTTCCAAGAAGTATGAGGAGACAATTTTAATGCACAGTTTCAAGATTAGGCAGGAGGGCCTTCATGAGACGATAAATAATATTGACAGTTGCAGTGGGCCCAGGAGCCGAAACTCGACATACCCAAAGAGCTAAACGAGTACAGTTGGACGCATGCGCGCACGCACACACACAGGTTCCTAACTCTTCAACACCTTCCTTCGTGCATAAGGGAAATTAGCAACAAATCTCTGGCGGTCTTCAGGAGGAAACTTAACAAACTTCCTCAAATTAGTCCCTGATCAACCAGGCTGTGGTTCATACAGTGAACTACGTGCTGCCAGTAGTAGTAGCCTGGTTGATTGGCTCTTGATTCACCAGGAGGTCTGGTCTGGGACCGGGACGCGGGGGCGTTGACCCCTGAAAACATCCTTCACTTACCACTTCCTCATTCCAATTATTTACCACCTTAAGTTTGAAAAAGTGTTTAAGAGACACGTAAGTTCCTCCGTCTTCTAACATGTTCATTTTTCCTCTATAATCTACCTTGTTCATAATTACTATCGTATTTGTTTTGTTTGTTTCGTAAGGTGAAGTCCAGGATCGTTACTTAATTCATGGTATAACTTAAATCTTTGAGGATAGTTGTGTTGCAGAGGTCTGAGCTCTGCTCAGTGTTGCAGAGGTCTGAGCTCTGCTCAGTGTTGTAGAGGTCTGAGCTCTGCTCAGTGTTGTAGAGGTCTGAGCTCTGCTCAGTGTTGTAGAGGTCTGAGCTCTGCTCAGTGTTGTAGAGGTCTGAGCTCTGCTCAGTGTTGTAGAGGTCTGAGCTCTGCTCAGTGTTGCAGAGGTCTGAGCTCTGCTCAGTGTTGCAGAGGTCTGAGCTCTGCTCAGCGTTGCAGAGGTCTGAGCTCTGCTCAGTGTTGCAGAGGTCTGAGCAAAGCTCACACCTCTGTGTTTTTGTGTAAATTCTCAATTGGCGACAGATATATTTTGGGCCTATAGAGGGAATTTTTTTTATAACGAAAATAACACGCAACCCAGCCTAGAATTTAACTCCTAGGTTAGGTTACGTTTTTTGTTAGAATTTTTTTTCTCAGTAAGCTCAGAATACAGCTGTTTCCATTGCACAACTCATTTCATATTAAAAAAAATTACTTGTCTATCGTTAAGCTTAAAAGCCACTCTCTAAATAATACCCCACCTGTAAATACCCAGTCTTCGTACCCGGGAGCAAATTTACAAGTTCACCAGACTATCATCTCGTGTATTTCCTGCCCGTTTATAGCCGTATCATGTCAATTATAACATACCTGAGGAAGTAGTGCTTGGGTTTTCTCAACCACTTATGATAATATCTGTCTGACACAGCAACATTTGAGATCTTGGTACAGAGAATTCTTCTACAACTCCAACGGTTCCTCTAACCTGTAAGGCTGACCTGCTTCCACAAATGGGCTGTGCCCACCTGTGATGCCGCCTCCAACTGCTTCACCTCACATATCTCCAGTTTATAGATCCGTTTCCTGTGCACATGCTGTACTTTTATTAAGACTGACAGACTGAATACATATCTACGCTGAGGGACTGATTACCTCAGATTTAATCTTCACATTTTCCATCGTTTTCCCAAGTGTTGCACAGATCTCTGATATATCTACTTCTTGAAAGTGTTCCCTTATAGGTTATTTTGTCTTGCCTTGTTAACACTTCTGCCAGCAGTTATTCACCTTATTTTCCTACACAATTGTCAGATCTGAGAATCAGGTCTTGTTCTTATAGATTTTTACTTGAATTTCTGGCAGCTCAGATATAATAATTGTATTATCTTTTATGACCAGATAAACGGTACCTTCTTCTGGCACTTTCTCCAGCCGATTTATTTTGGCGCTTTCTCGTAGTCTTGTTATGACACTGTCTTCCAGACTAAGAGAAGAATCAGCTTCTTTTACTGTTGCTGTTCACCTGAATGTATTTTCTTAACCTGTGAGTCACCTGGGATAAGTTACTAGAGTTTTCCTGCTCTCGTGACCCAGCTAGATGTTCACGGGCACTCGCTCTAGTACTTACTGCTATCCTCTCTAACTACGTGGAGAGTTCCTACTCTCAAAGCTATTCTCTCTAATTGCGTAGAGAGTTCCTCCTCACTCTCGACGCATTCCAGCAGTAAACTTGGTGTCAGATTTCACCTAAAGACCCGTTCTCACGTTTTCCAGCAATGTTAACATCTTCGTATTAAATTGTTAAATATTTATAAAAAAAAAGGACTATAACACAGACTGCTTTGCAGATCATTGGGTGAGAACCAGGAGGTAGAAGCCACGTGAGTACACTAGCTATAATATATACAACCATTCAGACACCAGAGATTTATTTTAGTGTCAGGAAGAGAAAAAGAAAGCCTAGAAATGATAATTTTCTTTAATTTCGGAGCCATATTAGACTAAACAATGCCAATGACTGCCTCATCACAAACACAGATGTTAGTGTCAACAAAAACCACAAATCAGTCATGTAACATATATGGTTGTAAATGAAGCACCGACAAAAACTGTTGTATTAGTGGACTCCTCACACTCGGGTGCAATGGTTGCAGCTCTCAGAGACTTGTATTAAAGATTAATTCGACAACAAAATATAGATGTTTAGGTACAATTTAAAAGATGTAACCAAAAAGCAGACAAAAGAGATGCAATCTCCACTGATCTAATGTTGTCTTTAATTTCAACAGTGAAAATTTAAAATAAAAGTTTAATTATCTTATGTAAACTACAAGATCAGCCATTGAAAACTGAGCACTACCTTGAAAACACCTTGTGTGAGCATCATCCTGCGTTATGAAATATTACAGAGAAACAGTTTTTGTTCCCAGTGTAACTATAGAATAGGGTAGCACACTGCTGATCTAAATAAAAAAAAATATCAAATTAATGTATAGAAATATACGGCACCTAGTTGGACGAGTCTTGTTAGGTTGGCATAATGTACTGGCCTACTAATTTTAGGACCGGCTTTCCATGGGATTGAATCCTGCTCAGTGTGCAAACACAAGAGAGAATACGACACACTATAATAGCAGAGATCTCGGGAGGCCGTTTGAAGGAACAGCAACTTACAAGTGAATACATTAGAAAATAATAATACAAGGAGTGATAATGTCAGAGGATCTCTCATTCAAGGACCACAACATTATCATCACAACCACAATTATTATTATTATAATCAAAAAGAAGCGCTAAGTCACAAGGACTATACAGCGCATCACAACCACAAGCAAAATGATAGGACGTATCATTAGAATCTTGAAACGAAGAGATGCCAAATCAACTTTGATACTGTTTAAGTTGCTTGTTGTCTCTAAATTGGAATATTACTGTAATCTATCAGCACTTTCAAGGCAGACGAAATCACAGAACTTAATTTATAATGACAGAGAACCTTCACTGCCATTATAAATTCAGTTCAGCATATAAATTATTGGAATACCTGCTGTCCCTCAAGCTGGAACGTAGGGGGGTAAGATGCATCATAATTTACATCTGGAAAATTCGGGAGGGATTTATCCAAGTCTGTTTAGCGAAATTATTAATTATTATTATTATAGTGTTAATTGTAAGTTACTTATTTTCTCATTCAGTTGTTCTTTATCATTGTTATTATCTATTTCTCTATTTTCAGATGCACTTGCGGCAGTGGCGATGACTTGTCGATGACGTGTGGATGGCGTGGCAATGACGCTCTTGAGGTAACCGTGACGTCAGCGGTGAAGTAAACAATGACGCAGTGAGGAAGTGTGCGTACCTCTGAGACGTATGGATGAGGCAATACAACCCGCAGCGGTGATGACGCAGTGAGTTGTTAGGGCAGTGAGGTGGTGGTGGCGGTGATGTGGTGGTAACGCCCAGGAATCACAGCTCTTGGACCCCCCACCCTGTTGCTGCTGGTCCACGGGGATGGCTCAACCCGCGGTCACCATGATGGAACAACTATAGTGCAGGTTAGTATTATTATTATAATCAAGGGGGAAGCGCTAAACCCGGAGGATTATACAGCGCCTGGGGGGGGGGGATGTGGAAGGCATTCAGGCTTAATTCGGGGAATTGGAGCACAGATCCAATTCCCTAAATCAAGAGCCCCTCACCAACATCAAGGAACCTTCCTTGAGGGGTGCAGGTTAGTAGCACCTTACACCATCACTCTTGAACTGAGAGGTAGATTTGATGGCCCCGAGGCTGAAACTAGTATCTGAGCTTGTTTAGTAACTACTTGTCCCTTACTGTATACTGGAATATCTGTCTCTTATACTGGGATATCTCAGGCGAAAAACACTTGTAGGTAATAGTTACATATAAAGTTATCTTCATGCTTCTTTCTTTTCCCCCTTTTTCCTCTTCACTATTTTCCTATACACCCTTCCCTCCCACTCTCATCCCTCTCACCCACACTTATCTTTGTCTCACTTCCCTTTCTGCCCCTGTTCCCTCTGCCTGTCTGTCTCTCCCCTCTTTCCTCCCTTTCTCTCCTTATTTTGTGTGATTAAGAAAAACTCTCTCTCATTTCCTTAGGGCTGTTTGTGCATCTTCCAAACATTAAACTGTAACACATGTACTGGGATAGCAGTGTTTTAATAACTAATAATAATGTGTCGGGGAAATCAAAATACAGATTGTTAAAGTATAGTTAGAAAACACAGACGCTCTTAATTGCTCCCTCAGTTTTTTTCTCCCACAAAGCAACAGATCTAATCCTCCACTAGTGAGTCACCAAACCGCAACATCCCAAGCCGATTTAGAAAGTGCAGCCATTGCACGTCTTTCCTCCAGTGGGAGCAAAAAGTCATTAATGAAAGTGAGAGAAACTCAAAATACTTTGTAAAATGTGAACTCCAGGTCAAGAGCCACATGTGGTATTGGATCCTCGCACAAAGAAGATGGAACTTAGAGGACAGTGAGGAAACGAAACAATGAAGTCACAATATGACTGTGCTCAACGAGCCATTAGTCACACTAAAGATTTACAATCCAGATGAACTGTTTGTGAATGAGACTTCTTTAAGTGTTTTATAACTCAGTCGGATTTGGAGCATTTTGTGAACTTAATCATGAATGAGACTCGAAATCTTACCGACATCTCCATAATGTGTAACATAGGCCTAACGCCATTCGACTTAAAAAAAAAAATAGCATGCCCATGCACTCTGCAACAGATCCAGACTCTTGAAACTCATAAAAAATGCAAATTATTATGATATTCAGTGGGATTATGCTAAACCCTTAGAGGTTATATAGCGATTGGGAAAAATGGAAAGTAACCGAGTTTGATCTAAGGACGGGGAGGTACCTCACTGGCGTCAAAGTACCTCGCACGAGGGACAAATTTAAAAAATATATATCAGATGCCTTAAGTACCACAAGTAGATGGAGTCATCCCACAATCATTTAGTAGTAGTAGTGGTAGGAATAATAATACAAGAATCAGAAACAGATATTGTGATATTTACCGAACACTTTGACTGCCATCAAGTGTGACCTTGATGTAACAGACAAAATGCATGCAAAAGGAATAACTTAAAGGCAGCTGATGGATTTTAATTTTATAACAAATGGAACCCAAAGAGTAACAGTCTGCAAAATAAACCCAAGTGGCTGCTACAGTACAGTACTCGTTCCAGTTCTCTCTCTTATATCCGGCATTGACGAGTCTAGAGAATGCGCACAAAACCTTCACTGCTAATATAAATTCAAGAAAGTACCTAAACTGTTGTAAATGCTTGAAGTTCTTCGGCCCCTAATCCATGGGACATGGCCAGAAAGATACATCATAATTCACATCTGAAAATTCAGGAGGGATTAGACCTTAATCTACTCACCATAATCACTTCCTACAAACACAAGACTCAGCAGATGGTGGAAAGTCTCCTCACATGGTAAGCAGGGTGCAGTAAGTACACTAAGAGATACATCAAGAAGTGAAACGGCAATAAGACTTTTCAACACACACTGTATACGAGTAGACATACAAAGGGACTGGACCGTGATGGCAGTGACGCCGGAATATAGCTATGGTTACATTAACAAAACATCAAATTCCCAAGAACGCTTGCTTTTATGACGATTTAACAAAGTCACATACAGTATGCCTGCTGGATCCTCAATTATTTCGTGATACCTCCTTCACACCCTCCATTCAACCCTTCCTCGGGTATCCCCTACTACTGTAAAACACTTCACATGCAACCTGTATTTACATCTGTTTTACCTCATCATTCCAACAGTCGTTTTCCTTGTGTCATGCACCGTGTACTGCACCGAAAGAGAGAATCTGTTTATGGACAGATACCAAACTAGTTATTCAAGGAGAGAGAAAGAGAGAAGATACTCGAATAAGCCCTTATCAACAGTGACACCATGTTATATCACGGGCGAAAAGGATGCCCTTTTTCACTAAGTTAAAATAATGAGTTAAAATAGGTATGGACACTCACTACACACTACTGGACCTTACTCGGTTCCACTTAATTAACTAGGAACACATAAATCAGTCTTATACAGAACAATAAATTTAAAATGAAAGTGAATACATTATTTCACTCAATTACAATTTATTTTATTATAACAATATACTTGGTCAAAGACAAAGGGATCTGATACAAAGATAAATGGGAAGAAACAAGATAATTGAGATATGGAAATGCAATTAACTTACGAAACTAAATATTTACTTACAATGTAAAATAGTCCTTAGTAGATCACTCCTAGAAGATCAGCAAGACTACCAACACCACCAGGTCCCAAGACCTTACACACAGCTTCAGCTCTGTCCCCGAGTGTCTGGCTACCAGGTCCTCACCCAGAGCTCCAGCACTGCGCCCTACGAAGGCTCCTCACCAAGCTACTCACCTTAGCCACTTTTCCCTGAACTTATAATAGCCTCCTCATTCTACATAACTTCAGACCAGCTCCCATGGGAAAATCTACACTCCGTGGTCTCCAAAGAGGCTCGAGTGCCTTGACAGAACTAGGGCGTGAAGATTAGCAGCCAAGACAACTATCCTCGTAAACAGATAGTAACTGGGGACCCGTCTCACGATATCACGTATATCCTCGCAGAGTAACAGGAGACCCAGTCTCAAGATATCACATGTGGTCTCCCATTTCTCATAAACAGGATATTAGAGAGTCTCAAGATATGACAATCATAGCACAGAACCAGGCTTGCGTAGCCCTTAGCTCATATCGCACTTGCAAGTTATCCAGGCGTCTGGAAACCAACATAATACTAGTAGTGTGTATACCTTGCAGTATTCCCTCCCCCCGAAATACTCTCCTGCACCTCACCTTCCTGTGTACCTCTAGATGTATTCTCTGCTGATTTGAAAAAGCTATTGTTGTCGTTAATAAAAGTATCCGCCGCATCTGATTATCACTTCACTGGTTCGGTATATACATACCATCTCAGCTCCCCCATCAGCGTCTCCTGCACAAAGCAACACATTCTTAAACCAGCACAACTTTTGTATACCTTCATCTCCCTAACTTTTTTTTTTGCTTAATTCATTCACTTTAATTTGCTTTCAACCTACTTACGCTGCTCTCTCTATATTTCCTCCCCTGACTTTACTGTACCCACCGCCACCTTACAGACATATCAAACACGCTAAATACGTACGTAACAAGTCTAAACCCCCTCTCACCCCTTTGATCTTTTTTTTTATCCACGAACATAGTCTAGAAGACTGCTCTCTTGCATTTATAATACCTTTTATAAAGGTAATTCCTGTTATCTCTTCTGTATACAGCGCTGCATGTACCTTATATATGATAAGAGCGAACAAGGTCCCAGACCAAAACATTCCCTATATTCAACACATGCCTTTTCCTCAACTTGTCTGTATCGTATATCTAATTGTTGTATCTCTTATATTTTTCCTTCTTGAGACGTGTATTGCCTCTTACCAACCCATCGTGAGCATAACTTTGTCCCCCATTATCATTTACACCAGACATGCAACCCATTCCACGGCTCACTTATAATTTTGCATTACAACTTTCCACTGCAATTACTCTCACTTGACTCAAAATTCCCCCAGCATTCATATACTGGTAAACACATCAAGATGCGTATCTCTCAGTGTAAATATATATTAAAAGGTGTGTGTGTGTGTGTGTGTAAATATATATTATATATATATATATATATATATATATATATATATATATATATATATATATATATATATATATATATATATATATATATATATATATATATATATATATATATGCAAAAACAACCACTCTGAAAGAATAGAGAAATTCCAAGCGCTTTCGTGACTACTCACATTATCAAGGAACTGTGAAAGTGAAGCATCCAAGGAAGCTATATAAGGGTCTGGTCGGCACCTCACTATCTGTGATCTTATTGATATATATATATATATATATATATATATATATATATATATATATATATATATATATATATCAATAAAATCACAGTAAACAGGTGATATCACAATATGCAGAACAACGATAAAATAAATGCAATAGTAATTTTGAAAGAAACTGATTACCAAGACAAAATGAACAATCTCGTGGAGGATACAGAAATTTATTCTAAACTTAGAAAGAATCCCTTAGAATCTGTTAACAGAAATTTCAATAAAACTATAAAAGGTCTACCCACTAATCCATGTTTACCTTATATGTATGGATTAATAACATTACACAAACCAGGTAATCCAATTAGACCAATTATTAGCTCCATATGTCCAGTTTCCTATAAATTATCTAAATGGCTTGTTGATATTTTGAGCCCAATTGTTGAAAAACTTCTAACTTCAATGTTAAAAACAACATACATTTAGTGGATAAATTAAGCACCTTGACTGACTTAAATAATTTCAATATGGTTAGTTTTGACGTTACTTTGTATATAAAAACTCCAGTTGAGGATTTATTAAGCTTATCTGAAGAACTTGTTAATCACGATTTACCATTGCCATTTCCTATCATTAAACTTTGTATTGTTGATGCAAAAATTTCTTAGTAATATATACATGGAATTTTTGGAGACATACCTCTGTATATTATTATTATTATTATAATAAAAAAGAAGCGCTAAGCCACAAGGGCTATACAGCGCTGCAGGGTAGGGAATACCTCTGTATAATATATAATACACACGTAGGTCTCAGTTCATATGCACCTGAAATGTGTAATGTGTGTTAATACACCGAGAGGTCTTTATTTCTATGTATGAACCTTGAGTTTACTTTAATCCATATTGTAGCTTAAAACTCCTTGTATAGTCGATTGCCCTTATACCTAACACTCACATAAAATCTCTTTCCTCTATACTTCACTTAAGGTGTTCAAACTCTGATTGCTGCCCACTTTTCACATCTCACTTTTATTCTCATCTAAACTGTTTCTACATTCGTTACTACACGTCACTTTTTCTTCTATATTTATTCTTTATAAACGTGTTTGTTGTCCATAAATTATCAGTATTTCTTACGGCTAGACAAAAGTTAGAAAAGGTGTGATTTACCTGCACTCTTGAGGGTATATATACTGAGAAGTGTACATATCTCAGTGTATATACCCTGTGATGTTTCATTTTAATACCTTTTTCAAGGATTAAAGTATATTCGACAGCGTACAGGTGAATTGTAAAATTTAATAGGACATGTGCAACACCTGTCTTAATCAGTCAAGTTATCGGTATTATATACCTTTTATTACTACAATGAGTTAATTGTAGTCTTTATAACCCACTTACAATCTTAGCTTTCAAGCTATATAATGGTGAACTTTGAGCCTGCAAGGCTGAGCTCTAGCTTGACGTGAGATCTTCCTCAGGGTTGACGATGTCGTGGCTGGGCGGCGACGACCCCGGGGGCGGCTTTGGCTACGACTACCCGTGGTGGGCGGCCGAGGAGGGGGTGGGCAGCCGTACTAACCGTACCTGGGAGGAGAGGTGTCGAACCCTCGACTATGATTATCACGTTGTCACCGCTGTCATCTGCGGCATGTTCCTCGTCTTCGGTGTCGTCTACAGCCTCTTTGGTAAGTACCTGTGTGGGCTCCTGTGTACTTGTGTGGGCTCCTGTGTTGCGGGTGCTTCTGTTGTGTGGGCTCCTGTGTTGTGGGTGCTTCTGTGTTGTGTGGGCTCCTGTGTTGTGGGTGCTTCTGTGTTGTGTGAGCTCCTGTGATGTGGGTGCTCCTGTGTTGTGGGTGTAGCTGTATGGGTGCTCCTGTGTTGTGGGTGCAGCTGTATGGGTGCTCCTGTGTTGTGGGTTGTTCTTTGTGGGTGCGTCTGTGTTGTGGGTGCTCCAGTGTTGTGGGTGCACGTGTGTTGTGGGTGCTCCTGTGTTTATTTTGCTTCATTTACTCACCAGTAATGTTTCATTCCCTCATCCGTGGAAATTTGAACGTTTAGAAACCTCTTAATGCTTTGCCGCCACCTTGCCAAACATGTGGCAGCACAAACGACAGAAACAGAAAAAAAAAGGTCGCTCGAGAGACTGGGGGGGAAATCATTTTTTTAAGCTTTTCTGTAATGAATTGGAAGCCTGTAACATAATACGCACTCTGACAGGATTGCTAGTCTGTTCTGTGACATTATTTAAGATAGTTAAATCGTGCAAAATTCTATACATATTCCGTATACTACTTTTCATTGTGTTCCTTAATAGGATGAACTTAAAGCGAGGTATGTCAGGGGGAAAAGTCCCTCTGAAGCGTTATATTTTGTAAATATTGATGAACCGTGTGGATGGTTAGAGGCAGCTGGTGAACCTTGACTGGAATACTTAATGATAGCCCCGTTGTCCTACTGTAGTCTCCAAGCTCATGTTGACACTGGTATAGTCTCCCAGCTCAGACTGACAGAGTTCAGTACCTTGTATAAGCACCATCCTGTGTGATGGACTATGACAGGGAAACATAATTAGCTTCTGTTCCCACTGTGTAACTGTCATATAGAATAGTGCAGCAGCACACTGCCGGTGTATCCAGTTTTGTTTAAAATAATCTCCACCCTTCCCTCTCCCTACACTTCTACACATCTCCTCTCCCTCTGTTCTTTCCCTTCCTCTTCATCCCTCTCTTACTCTCCTCCCTGGTTCCCTCCGTCTGCGGACTGGAGGCAGCAACACGGTATAACTGAAGTTTTTAATCAACTTACCGTGTCCAAGTTAAGATGGAGCAGAGGTAGTGAGTAGAGAGAGAGAGAGAGAGAGAGAGATCAAGGTATATAGGTAAGGAATTCAGGAAGTTAGGTAATAAAGATGGGTTAAGTAGGCAGGCAGGTAATTAATGTAGGTAGGAGAATAAGCAAGTAGATACGAAGGTAGAATAATAGGTAGGTAAGGGGGTAGAAGGTAGGAAGGAGGCTGGGTAGGTAGAAATTATGGTGGGGAGAGGGAGAGTGCAGCAGGCAGATAAGAAGTATATTATTATAACCTTTTAGGTGTTAAGTGTGTGGGCCAGCAAAAGTGAGGTGTTGTGGAAGATGCTACCAGCGTGAACACTTCTTGGTATCCACGAGTGTGTGTGGTGTGTGTGTGTGTGTGTGTGTGTGTGTGTGTGTGTGTGTGTGTGTGTGTGTGTGTGTGTGTGTGTGTGTGTACTCGCCTAGTTGTGGTTGCAGGGGTCGAGTCATAGCTCCTGCTCCGCCTCTTCGCTGGTCGCGACTAGGTTCACTCTGCTCCATGAAATTTATCGAACCTCTTCTTAAAGTTATGTATGAATCCTGCCCCTCTACATCACTCTCCAGATTGTTCCACTTCCGACAACTTATGAATGAAGAAATATTTCCCAACATTCTTACAACTCATCTGAGTTTTCAACTTCTAGGTGGGTGTGTGTGTTTGGAAAAATTTTAGGAGAGTGAGTCTACTCTCCAGTTTATTGAAGGATGCAAGACTCATCACACCGTCCACTCCAGAAATAGCCTTAATCCCAGGCCCTTGGAGCATCTTGCCTTTACCTTGCGTCGATTTAAGGGATCACCGCCTCCGCGGCCCGGTCCTAGACCAGGCCTCCTGATTTCTGGCCTGATCGACTAGACTGTGGTGCCTGCCGCACGCAGTCCAGTGTTCACCACAACCTGGCCGATCAGGAACTGATTTGAGTAACTTTCCAAGTTCCCTCATGGAGCCAGAGGTTTATTGATAATACCACTTATGCACGGAGGTGGTGTTGAAGTCAGGGAATAATGGAATTTTCTCTTGGTGTACTCACTTCGACCCTGATCTTCATTGAAGATATTTTACACCGTCTGACACGTCTCGTATGGAGTGATGTCAGTGTGCAGGTTTGGGATTAGTCTCCATTGTTTTCCAGGTATAAGTTATGAGCCTTTTTCGCCGATGTTCCAAGGAATACAATTTAAGGGATTTCAAGTGTTTCCAGTAGTTCAGATACTTGAGTGTGCTGTGAAGGTTTTCTCTTATTCAGCTGTGCCATCTCGCCTGCCTGGAGAGACTTAGCAGTATTCCTACTTGGAGAGAACAAGTGACCGAACGAGTATTTTCAATGGCTCATAATTTCGTGTTTTGAGTGCTTTAGTTATTCAGTTATTATTTCCCTTGTGTTAGCAATAGCTACAGTGTTGTGATCTTGAATGTGAGATTTGATGTGGCAACTATCAAACCTTTTAAATTTAATTTTCTCTCTGTTGAAAGATTCGAGTTTATCTAGTACTCTGTTTCAATCTTTATTTCCTCTATTCTTCCATAGAGTAACTGAAACTTGTTCTAACTGAACATCAGCGGCCTAGTGGGGCCTCAGGGGATGCATCCGCTCTCATAAAAATTCTATTGTCAGCAAAAGATACGGCGCTATAATTTGTGTTCTTGCCAATGTCAATTATAAGAATAAAAAACAAAAGCGGGGGCGAGTACTGTGCCTTGAGGAACAGAGCTTTATACTGTGGCAGCCAACTCTCTGGATTCTGTTAGTTAAATGCCCATCTGCCTACTTTTTCAGTTATTTTTTTTGCACGCATTTTGTGCGCCATCACACCATGGTCGCACCTGTCGAAGACTTTTGCAAAAATCAGTGTGAACACTGCATCAGCATTGAGTTGAAGATGTTTCCTGTTGTCATCAGTGTTGAGTGACTCGCCTAAAGACAACTTGTGTCAAGCCATCGTATCATTGATTTTATAATGAGTGCTCCTATTATTTGTATGTTGTGTTTTTATTATCTATAGATAAGAAGGGAAAGGGAGAGTAGCACCAGTTCCTTATATCAAGAGCCTTTTACTAACATCAAGGCAGAAAAAGACGATGACTCGTGTAATGGAGACAAGGACATTTATGACACAGTAGAAACGACATGCGCGTGTGTAATATATATGTGTAATATATGTGTAATATATATATATATATATATATATATATATTTGTATGGTTGGTAGACAGCAACCCCCCCGGGAATACTAACCATCCTGCCAGATGACTGTGAAAAAAACCTGTAACTTTTTGCATGATGGTAGGATTGGTTTTTTTTCTGTCTCTTTAAACCCACGCTAGATAACAGGGATATCTTGCTACTCCTACTTACACTTTGGTCACACTTCACAGACACGCACATGCATATATATATACATACATCTGGGTTTTTCCTCCTTTTTCTAAATAGCTCTTGTTCTCTTTATTTCTTCTATTGTCCAGGGGGAAGGGAAAAGAATCTTTCCTCCGTAAGCCATGCGTGTCGTTGGGGCGACTAAAATCCCGGGAGCAATGGGCTAGTAACCCCTTCTCCTGTAGACATTTACTAAAAAAGAGAAGAAAAAACTTTATAAAACTGGGATGCTAAATGTGCGTGGATGTAGTGCGGATGACAAGAAACAGATGATTTCTGATGTTAAAGAATGAAAAGAAGTTGGATGTCCTGGCCCCAAGCGAAACAAAGCTGAAGGGGGTTTGGAGAGTTTCAGTGGGGGAAATAAATGGATTAAATCTGGAGTATCTGAGAGAGAGCAAAGGAAGGGGTAGCAGTAATGTTAAATGATCAGTTATGGAAGGAGAAAAAAGATATGAATGTGTAAATTCAAGAATTATGTGGATTAAAGTAAAGGTTGGATGCGAAAAGTGGGGCATAATAAGCGTGTAATGCACCTGGAGAAGAGAGGAATGCAGAGGAGAGAGAGAGATTTTGGGAGATGTTAAGTGAATGTTATAGGAGCCTTTGAACCCAAATGAGAGAGTAATTGTGGTAGGGGACCTGAATGCTAAAGTAGGAAAAAACTTTTTAGAGAGGGTGTGGGAGGTAAGTTTTGGGGGGGCCAGGTGTAAATGATAATGGGAGCCCTTTTATTGAACTTTGTATAGAAAGGGGTTTAGTTATAGGTAATACATATTTTTTAAAAAAAAGGGATAAATAAGTATACAAGATATGATGTAGGGCGAAATGACAGTAGTTTGTTGGATTATGTATTGGGAGAATAAAAGACTGTTTTATAGACTTCAGGATGTACATGTTTATAAAAGGGGCCGCAGATATATCAGATCACTTTCTAGTTGTAGCACACTGAGAGTAAAAGTAGATGGGATACAAGGAGAATAGAGCATCAGGGGAAAAGAGAGGTGAAGTTTATAAACTAAAAGAGGAGGCAGTTAGGGTAAAATATAAACAGCTATTGGAGGATAGATGGGCTAATGAAGCATAGGGAATGGGGGCGAAGAGGTATGGGGTAAGTTTAACAATGTAGTGTTAGAGTGTTCAGCAAAAGTTTGTGGTTACAGGAAAGTGGGGGCAGAGGGAAGAGGAGCGATTGGTGGAATGATGATGTAAAGAGAGTAGCATGGAGAACATGTTAGCATATGAGAAGTTTTACAAAGTAGAAGTGATGCAAGTAGGGAAGATATATGGAGAAAAAAGAGAGAGGTTAAAGAAAAAAAAATAGTGGTGATGCAATGTAAAAAGAGCAAATGAGAGAGTGGGTGAGATGTTATCAACAAATTTGGTGAAAATAAGAAAAAGTTTTGGAGTGAGATTAACAAGTATAAGAAAGCCTAGAGACAAATGGATTGTCATTAAAAATAGGAGAGGAGAGT